GTGAGAGATTGGCCAGTTTCCGACGTTCTTTTGTCCTCCTCAAAAATGAATTGAAACACCATTATAAAAAGAGCTCCAGCTAGCACTCAAAGCTCAGCTTACGTTAACCGTCCACAGTCGGTCAGAAGCAGCTAGAGCTGTGGATTTAGCCGTACTAGACGGAGCGGATGCCACCTATAAATGACGAAATGCTTAATTAAAGAGGACTAATAAAGAAAGAAGCTTAGAGCTATGGCTTAGCAGCCCATTCCTGTGGCAGTCTCGAACTGAATGTGTCACTCACCTTGCTTTTAGCTTCTGCCTTAGCGGCTTTGCGAGCTTCCTTCTTGGCTTCCTTGTCCTTTCTGCCGTCGTCCTTTGCTGACACTTCAGGTTTCTCAGAAGAGATCGGAATATCAATGATGGACTTGTTCTTCCCTTTCTCATTTGTCCCCACACTAGCTAAACACACAAAGGTAATAGAATAAAACTCAGCAGCCCAAAGAAGAACACTCTCTGGAAAAGAATGTCGGGTGTGCATATAACGTACACGACTTCCCCATTTCCGTCAAGAGGTTGTCGAGCGTCGACGTGAGATTCATAAGAGACTTGATCAGAGCGTGTTGCTTGCGCTCTATTACTTCTGCCGGGTCATGTGTCTCCTCCGGCAAACCATTGCACATAGCTGGTGAGTCCTTCAATATGGAATACTTTAAAACGGCACTCCACAAAACTGGGACTATCATCATCTATTAAGAAGCACCGTCCATTGAGTTCGTTCTCTAAGGCCACGTTCATACTTTGCGTCAACATGCGCCAGCGACTAAGGAAGTGTAGATATTGATCTAGCGAACGCTAGCGTGCGCCAACAAGGAGGAATGTATGGATATCGATCAATGTCTGTCAACGTTTTCACGGGCAACTTGAGCTTGAGCACAACTGCCCGCGAAAACGTTGCTGTACGCTGGCATTCGCTAGACTGATATCCGTACTTTTGTACTTGCTGGAACACTGGTGTACGCTAAATCAATGTCCATAGTTTTCTAGTCGCTAGCGCTGGCGTAGGCTCCAAATACCGGTGTAGGCTCACGCAAGGCATGAACGCATCCTGACTCAGGAGCTCGACCCCTTTCAGGTATAGGCAGAAGTCTTCATTCTCGTTGTGTAGGTGCCACTTTCCACAACCAATCCTGTGAAGACTCTCTTCGACCTACTTCTGTAGATACCCGAAAAAGGCAACCATATTACGACCACTTGACGATTTCTGATCTAATCTCTGTGTCGCAACACTTCATGGGAATTTACTGAATTCATTCATACTTTACCGAGGTGTAGAACCGGCGATTCCAGAAACGGCGCCTAAGAAAGTGCAAGTATTTCTACCGAGAATTCGCGATTCGAGAGAATATGCCGTGCGAAAGATCGCTGGCAGAGGATTGGATAGGAATCGACCGACCACTAGCGAATCACAAACTTTTCAGCTGGCACAGCCCTCGAGTCGCGATTATTCTCTAGGCTGGGTACTTATATCAGTTTGTGTTCGCACGCGGATACGAAACGGTGGCGTGTACAGCGACATCGAGTTCGGCGCAAAAATCCCGTTCTCCACCAGACTAGTTTGAAGCGCGAGCAAGTCAGCAAGTGCTAATCATATCGTTCGTTATCGATCCTATCGACATCGTTTTCTAAACAATTACTGTCCGGGCCATACCTCCTACAACAACTGAACAGAGAACGGTTCGCACACTCCTCGCCTGGCACGCGCCCCTTACATCGCCAACAGCTGAAATCAATCTGTATAACCTCACCTTTACCAGCTTCCTACGATTATCAAGTGGATGTAAATACGTGTCTGCCAACCGGGTTGCTCTCCTCCCCGTGAACAGTCAGCAGGTGTTTCCATCATGGCAATTATTCTGGTTTAGCCAAATCGGGTAGCAGCAATGGGAAATGACAGAAGCGAGAGGAATCAAAATCAAAGGGGAAGGGAAGAAAGAACTGTCAAGTCCAGGATATCCTGAGACGAGTTGCAGCCGCTCTTCCAACCGCGAATTGTCCACATTTGCAATAAGTGGGACATGCGCTAGCGCTGCGCTTCCATATTTATGGCAAGCATACAGACGAACTGCAGAAGTTCTGTCTTCGGCCACTTGCCAGAAAAATCATGTGTCACTAAAAGGTTCCGGTTGATAAAGACGAAAACCGCTAGGCCTAAGTATTCATTAGTTAACAGGTAAGAGAGATCATCATTCTTCTGAAAAATAATCAAAGAATGACTGTCTTCAATCAGAAACCCTTTGTTGCCACTTCGGCGAAGAAGGATCAGGGGGGGGGGACGTTTCGCACTCTCGCTGCTCCACTGGTTCCGGTCTACAAGTCTCACTTCGGTGAAACATGTGAATTCCCGTGAAGCTGGAGCGACCTCGTCAAGCCATTATGAAAAATGGTATTTCACTACTCAATATGAGTTGACAGGCGGCCTCTGCAAACTGGGAGACGGGCAAGAGGATCGTAATTTGCCGCTCCGCCGCGCGCGGCGATGGGCGCGGCGTTTTCTTAACTCGTGTTAACCTGTCGACTGGAGCACCGGACTTCATGTAGACCCCGTCATCGTAGACATTCATGACTATTTTCGGTTCTGAATTGCCTGTTGTCGCCATCTACTACCTGGAACCATCGTCATTTGCGGGCGCGACGTCGCACGCGACGCCATCAGCGCGGCGAATTACGATTCCTCTTGTCACATATCCCTGCAAACTATGGCTGCTACCATTTCGCGTCTTTACAAGACTTCGCAGGTCTCCACTTGATGGTTCGACACGTCTACGTAAAGTAGCAAAAATGGAAAACCCCAACCCTGTCGCCGGTCTGCGCTTGCTATTTGAAGGATCACAGCCTCAGAAGAGCAAAAATCTTTCTCTTCATCATAAATGGAGGACTGCTTACGCTGGTGTTTTTGTTGCTATGATAGCTGGGTAGATGATACATGACATCGAGTGGCTTGACATCCAGATCTACCTGGTACAAGTGGAGGCAGACTGTACATGGAAGACATTTTATTACCTGAACGAAGTACTTGTCTTGATCAAAAAGCACATTAATTCAGTGAAGTGAGAAGCGTAAAGAAAATGATTAGGAACGAATAAGTAGCGCTTCCAAGAACAACGAGAAGCAAATTAACGTTGTTTGAGACCCAAAAAAAACTAGTGCAAAGTGGCGAAGGAACAAGGAGTTTTTCCTTCAAACAGGTAACAGCGAAATTCTCTCGCGTATCACGTCTTCACCATCAGGAGAAAACCTCATTACCCAAGTCCACGCTATCCTCTCTACTGGCACCAAATGCAGACGTCATTTCCATATTCAGAGGGTCAAACTATCCCTCGAAGTGGCGTTGGCGTCTACGGCACGCGTTCCGTGCGGTTTGACGGGTACGATTCATGTTTAGGAGGTCAAACCATCCCTGAAAACAAATTTCAAGCCAAATCTGCAGCCGTAGAAAGTCGGTGAAGTGCTTTCTTGACTTCGAAATATGTGGATTATAAGATGCCTATCTAAACGAAGCCGAGGTAACCTCTTTGAATAACTTTCCCGCGCGCACCCCTTCGAGTATCTGTCATTGGAGCGCGCTATTTCGCAATCACTACTTCCGTGGCGGTCCACTTACATTAGTAGCTACTGTTGTAACGCTTAAAATGAAATACACCAATGAATACAGGAAAAAGTGAACATTCATCAAACTGGAAAATGCGCGCATTTCGTGCATTATGCGAGTGCGTGCGACGAACATGAGATATGATAACGAGCATACAAAAAAGTGTGACCAACAACGTACCATATAGAAACCTAGTTATTGTAGATACACTCAGGCGTTTGAACCGATCTTGAAAGGCGTTCGAAGCGAGGTGTGTTCGAACATAGTTTGATCTTCATATGTATCCCACCGCCTGTTTGGTCCTAGGACCTCTTTTCCAGCAGGTCTAAGTGTCCGCAACTTCACTTTCGTTTCGCCCCATAGAAACTCAGTTTTCAGATGATCGACTTAGCAAATTCAGCATCATCGATCAAGCGCCATGATTACGTGAAATGCCCTCATCTCCACTCGCCTGTCATAAAAGTGCGGACTTAAGCGCTTTTCCCCTCTATATCTATTATTACCATACTAACAGTCGTGCGTCGAAGCGAGCTGTCCCCGCTTCTTTCTCGTCAGCTTTTCGTCAGTTTTTCGGAGCTCGTAATCTTCAGCCGTCGAGGTTCATGATTTTCCTTTCAATGCGTCTTGTTCCACCATTCTGCATCCAACGCTCCGCATTTCTCCTTATTTGGTTACGAGTAGTGCATCACACCAATACTTATCTTACACCAGCGTTTTGAAGAACTTAATGAAACCAGTGAGATACCCTATTTGGATTGTGATAGCATTGGACGTCCCTTGAACAGGGTACAGCGTCGCTGTGTACTGGTTTATATAATGGATGACCAGCACGGGGCGTGGCTCGTGGAGTTGCATATATACCAATAGAGACGAGACGGGGCGCGTGCCTCGTGTTAGGTGATGGTTTCCAAGACGGGGTGGTCTCGGTGGAGGTAGTGGTAGAATGCTCACTTAATCTAGGCGTGCCTCTCAATACAGGAGAGGTCACGCATTCAGTATCTAAACTATTGCCTATGGTCTTCTAATCACCATGTCTCAATTTCACTATCACTACTATATATAAACGGCAACGTCTGTACGTTTGTCTGTTTGTCTGTCTGTCCGGAAATTCGGAATCACCTGAAGAACCAGTTGGAAGGGGCGGGTCAAGGGTGGGTTGGGTAGGGCATGGGTCAAGATGTACGGAACACATGAACTGAGCTAAGCTCCGCCCACTGTGGGCGGGGCATGCGCACGTTTGTGAGCTACATAGTTCAAAAATTCGTAGTTCGGTTCTAGAAGATCCCGGAGAGCGGAAATTGTGGGAGAAGATAAACAGTCAGTTGGCGGATGAAATGAGGGAGTCACACCCGTGATGGGCGAGGCGTGCTATAGGTGGGCGGTGCTCGCTACAAAACTTTTCAAAATTCCGTAGGTTCCCGGCTTCTAGAAGATCCGGAGAGCCCGGAATTGTGGGGAAAGATAAACAGTCAGTTTCTAGCGGATGAAATGAGGAAGTTACACCCGCGATGGGCGAGGCGTGCTATAGGTGGGCGGTGCTCGCTACAAAACTTTCAAAAATTCGTAATTCGGTTCCAGAAGATCTCGGAGAGCGCAAATTGTGGGAAACCATAGGCAAACAGTTGGCGGACGGAATGAATGAAGCACACCCGCGATGGTTAGGGCGTTCGCCGAAATGAACGGTGCCGTGGACAAAAACCCTCAAAACATACCCGAAAAACTCCAGGAAACGGGGAGTAAGTGAAACTGAGCAATGGTTGGGCAGATGAAGTTAGTTAGGAATAACCGTAGGGAGTATACCAAACGGTTGGTACGTCGCCAATAGTTCATAATTCGGTTAACAAACACACAATTGTGGCATAATCGCACCGTGACATGAAGAAAAGGTATGTGCCACAGTGAATGGGAGTGAAAATCAAGGGTTCATAAATCAGTATGTTTATTTATTTGTTTATTTACCTACTATTTACTGCACAACAATTTAGGTAAATGCATATTCCTACATTCCTACTCTGCGCTTCCTCATCACTG